ATACACTGATCTGTTAGAAGACGCACTCGTCCCTCCATACTGCCATTACAGCTCTCACTTGAGCCTCCACCGCAAGGCAGCTAAGATAAAGGCAGAAGGATAATACCGAAAAAGACATGGGACACCGGAATGGCCATTTCTGCCTCATTAGGCGTCATCAGCTAGTGATACCCAACTCTGGTGTTGCCGCTGAAATTGCTGCCACACCCGAGTTTTGAATTCGCGATCTCTCCGGTCAGGGCGAACGTCCTAACCCTTGAGCTACGAATATGATTACCGACAAAGACAAGGCAGACTGGGTTTGCCAATTCTGGCTTACTGATCCTCATCAGCCAACCACACCCAATCTCCGATTTGGGAGCGTTCTGGCCATTAAGACAAGGGTTTATTTCCCTGTCGGGTGCGCTTCGAAGCACGGACAGTACTAGATGAGCAGTCGCCGATTGGTCGCGGGACTTGTTCTCCCAGCAGTGTCCTGGGAATCGATCTAGAGCCCGGCAGACATTCGTACAGTTACAAGCAGTATACGAAGAATGAAGTTACTGACAAAGACATCAGAGCGATGACTCCTCGGCAACAATTCAGCTGTGCCGGCGAATTCTCAAGCAGGTGACGTCAAAACAGCATTGGATATAATGGATGAGACAGTGGTGGGATCCTTAAACTCAGAGGTTTGGAGGTTTGAAGCCAACGCTCTAACCAATTGAGCTACAAATGTCCCACCTAATCTAATCCCACTTGGGTCGATATTACCCGCCCAACTTTACCGCCCATATGGAATCCACCAATGCGGAACAGCAAGCTGACTGCTCAAGCAGGATTTCCTAAGCGATCATCTAGAATCCACCAGGATGACTACCAGGCTGACTGAATTATTAGGAGGTTTGGCTTCCGGTAAAGGCCTCCTCTACTATGCGGGTTCAAATCCCGCCGAACGCCTCGAGTTTTTTTCACAATTGCGTCAGCTCAAATTAAGCATATCTGCCAAACCTCCTAATAACTTTAATAACTACTAGATGCACCCTACTGGTTGCTGACCTGTCACAAATTTATGCCTGGTTGTTTATTCAAATATCTCTTATTTATTAAATACCGGCTTTTGTTCATTTTTTTCGATCTATGGGCTCTCATCCGTTACTGTAAAGCGGCCGCGGCAACAAATTCAACTAAATTTTACCATTTCAAGCTTACTTCTACAAGCTTCCTTCACTGTCTATCATAATTCTCCAACCATAAAACTTCTATTACGACCGGTCCCGTGCGAAAGAATGCTGGGGTATGAGGTATATAAGGCCCAGTAATTAAATTACCTTTGCCTTGTTTGCAAGACTTTCGATTTTTATGTAAAACAACCAGGCAGTCCAAAGGCGTTCGCCAAATGTAGTTACAAGACACTGAAGTGAACTTAACAACACACTGCAGATTGTCACTGCAAAAAAGACCGACCTTTGTCGGAGAGGGTACGTCTAGAATTATACATCGCATAGAGCATTGTAGCTGTCTGGACAACTATTGCGCTGCGATACAGACGCGAATTTGGCCGTCCTCGCTTTCGCAGGGAGGTCTGGTTACGAGTAATTGCACATTGTTAAGCAGTCACAAAATCGCCTGTTCAAGGTGATGATTACGACTCAGTCGGAGGAAAAATTCAGATATCGCCTTGTGAGGCACATCTCCCAACAACAAGAAGTTCCAGGTAACAAGGTGGTTCCCTTGAGATGGTTGCGGGCAAAAGTATTTCAGGTAGTGGTTTAAGTAGTTTAAGCAGTAGTAAGTAGTAGCACAGTAGACGCCACGGATCACGCAACATTTCGACACAGACGAAAGATTGATGCTCTTTCGCTAATCGGTATTGACTCGGGTTGTGATACTGATTATCGTGTAGTCAATTCTGAAGTTTATTCCGTCATGATAGGATGAGGGCTTTTTAACGAGCTTCGTTCTGACTACTAGCAAAACGTACCTATTGTAAAAACTCCACTACTTAAGTAGTATGCATTTCTGTCATTGATTTTGACTGCTTTTATAAATTCAAATATATATCATGGAAAACAGGCACGGAAAATTTATTTCTTGCCTTTGTTTGATAGAAAATTACGCCTTCTTTAAATTTGATACTCAAAGAAAGGGTAGCTTTCGTTTTTAAAAAGGTTTCTCAATTGCCGAATAATTTTGATACCTACTTGAGTGCTACACTCGAATTCAAGGTTTAAACACTGCGCACTGTGTGCATCCTGTTTAAGGAAAAGTAGGTCTTCGCCTACTGTTTGAGTAGAAGTCACATAGTTGTCATAAAATATTGCAATAGATGTGGAACATATTTTACGCAGTATAGACAGCATTAATAAATTCGCGGATACGATGTATTATGAACAAACACCTCACAATTGTGAAAAAGCTCATAATTAGCAAGTTTTTTATAACCAAAAGCTGCCCTTTCTTTGAGTATAAAATTTAAAGAATGCGTAATTTGCTATCAAACAAGAGAAATAATTTTTTCGTGCATGCTTTCCATAAAATATATTTTAATGTATAACGGCAGTCAAAATAAATGATAAAAAGGCATACTACTTAAGTAGTCAGTTTTTA